AGGCCGGGTGGGATTATGAACTATTCAGTAGACAGCAGGCCAGTGGGCACATGTCCATGGACCAGGGAGGCCTTGTAGTTTTACTTAAGCACACAGCCACCTGCTGCAGGCCTGCCCTCCTGGGCCACGTTTGGGTTAGCAAGCAGGGCCTCTAGAAAGCCTGGCAGGAACCTCCACACCCTCCTCTGGCTATGAGTCACCTCTTCTCTTTTTCCTTCATACCCACCTGTGAATTATTTTATCCTACAATTTATCGCATTATGTTATAACCAGTTTACTTGACAACTTCTCTACCCTCCAAAAAAAAAAAAAAAAAACCAAACTGATTTTTTAGGGAGAAGACTAGATCTTTCGGTTTTTTTTTTTATTCTCTCATTGTTTGTCATTTTTATCAGGCACGTAATTAGTTCTTATTGAATGCTTGGGGAATGATGCAATGAATGAATGAAGCAATCCTCAGTTGAGAAGGAAAAGGTCTCCAAGACTAGCTTTTTTTAAAAAGAATGTCATTGAAAATGAATGTCCTCTGTCCTCAGGGCTGCTGCTGGGGAAGGAGCACCACGAGCACGCCTCTGCACCCCTGCTGCCACCCGCACCTGCCTCAGCGCTGTCCCCTGCAGCCTCCGCCACGGCGGCCAGCAGTGCCCACGCCAAGACGGGCAGCAAGGACAGCAGCACGCAGACGGACAAAAGCGCGGAGCTCTTCTGGCCCAGCGTGGCCTCCCTCCCCACCCGAGGCCGGCTGAGCACGGCCCCTTCCAACAGCCCTGTCCTGAAACACCCAGCGGCCAAAGGGACCGCGGAGAAACTGGGTATGTGGTCCCCATCTCTTTACACTCCTAGAAACCCTGGATCTGCCCGGCCTGAGAGAGAGGGGTGCTTGGTTGAGCTGGAGAAGGGAGCAGGAGCACTGGTCAGCTCTCAACTTTATGGGTTTATTTTAATGATTATGGTTCTCCAAGTGCCCTTGGGCTGTGTGTGCTCTTTCTTATTATGGAAATGAAACATGTATAGACACCCTTCATTTATTATTGCCATTTAAAATGAGTATATCGTTTGAGTCTACCCTAGTAGTGCATGCTTTATAACTAACCCTTTTCCAGAAGGGGTGAAAACGGACCCTCTGAGGGATGTCAGGGAGTTAGTGCCTTCCAGTGTGTCTGGGAGCTAGTAGTAGGCACCAGGGACATCACAGCCATCGGTTCATAGACGTTGCCTTCAAGACATTGACTTGCCCAGGATTCGGGCCTCCTTGGAGGACGTCCTGATTGAAAGAGGAAGTGGACTTAACTGCTGAGTCCGTTAACCTACAGAACAGCACTTGGGCCAGGACTCATGAGTAGTTTAAAATATTTAAGAGAAGGCAGCTTGGGAGACGTGAGCTTTGCAATGAGTCCAGAAGTGTCCAGGGGAAGAACAGACTTGACCTTGGACTGATCATAGTCATGGAGCCAGCCCCTCACAGGAATTCTTTTGAGGAGGTGGGGGCTGTTCAGGGCATAAGTTAACTGTTTCCTCCAACGGGGCTTTTCATTTTCACCTTTCAAAACAGACAAGTAAATACAGTGTTGTCATTTTTTAGAGATGTAATCATTAGGATGCACTTTTCCAAGTAAAGCAGAGAACATGCCTGGCTCATCGAAGTGGTTCACACGTGCAGTTTTGAGTAGAGGGACGGTTGGGGTGTTAGGGGCCTCCACCACAAAGGCCAGCGTCATTGGTACCGCACTTATCCTTCTTCCATTCACCATCTCACGTGATTCTCTTATCTGTGTGCTGAATCCTGGGGCCAGTCACTCTGTGTTTTTCCCAGCTGTGGGACTGGGATGCTCTCTTTGGCCTTGTAAGAATCCCTGGGTGTGGAGTGCGTGGTTGGGAAATGGGTCCACTTTTCTCCCCGAGCGCAAGCCTCTGCACCCCCGCCCTCCATAACAGAATGCGGCCGCACACCTGTTCTCCTCCTTCCTATTTCGCCGCACGCCCCTCTCCTGGCCCCGGCGGGAAAGTCACCTGACCACAGACCCGGCCCAGGCGTCAGCCAGCCTCTGACCCTGCACAACGCCGAGTCTCCCCGGACTGGAGACAGATGATGGCAAGGTTCCTCATCCACCTTAATGGCACCGCCTGCGGCACTTCACAACAGAACATTAAACAAATCAAGGAAACCGCTCCCCGCGCAGAGAAGGAGCGAAGAAAGATCGAGGAAGGTTGTGGGACTGAGAAATCAGGAATGATTTGAACATGATAAAGATTTCAGGATTAGTTGTAAGAACACTTTTTATAAAATGTTAAACACAAAAACAGGGCAGGACCTACATGACTGAAGATGGAAAGAAGCTCAGTGGATTTTATATATATATGTGGGAGAGAGAAGATTCATGTAGGCTTGGACAAGTTAAGAGAAAATAGGGACAATGGAATTTTTCATTGTTACAGAAAGATGGATATTGTCCTTGGGGAGGTCTGGTGGTACCCGCACATTCTCTGGTTAGTAAACAGATAAATCCGAACATTGGATCTTCCTTGAAATACTCCCATTCTCCTTGCCTCTTAGCATGTTTGGTTTAGGAAAGAACCATCTAGAAATCTTTAGAGCCATTCTTGGCATAATGCAGTTCATCAACCTGTGCCAATCTGTGGGGTTCTGGAAGTGTGTGTGTGTGTGGCATGGGAAGAAATTCAGGGTATGGGGAATTTGCAAGGGTGGCCTATCGCGCTGACCCACTGTTTGGCTTGGATTTTAGGAGATCTATGGGGCTTCTTTAGGGTTTCTGGATTCTGCATTATAAACAGGATGGAAGCGTTATGTGATCTCTTAGTCTTAGCCTCCTGACTCTCGAGTCATCTGTCTCATACTTTATTCAT